CAGATTATGGTGTTAACAGGATTTTTATTCATATAAGTAAAGTTTTCTCATATTATGTGTGGAGAGAGCATCTATGGGGTCTTTTCAAGGGATCCTTTCCTTAAGATTCCTTAATTAATCTAAGAATAGCTCTTAGAGTCTTATTGAATTCAAAATGCAATTTCTAATTTTCAGTTCTAGGAACAATAAAAAAAGAAATTTGATATTTCAGATAATTAAATTTATTCTGAGAATAGTATTTCTACATGTGGGCTGCTTTGCCTTCATTTAAATAGAATATTAATTGCAAAGTGTGGGGAGTTTTGTTGGTTTTCCTGAGCTCTCGATACACATTGACTGAATTTAAATTACTCTGTGACTCATCTAAAAGCTCCACATCATAGACACAGCATTTAAATGGAGACAGAAATGCCATAGACAGAGGTTCTGTTCACTTAAATTATTGTATTTCCCATCATAAAACCCTCTAATTGGAGGTGAACCAAAAGTAACACTGATACACGTGGAGCCATGAATTAGCCGTTTCCATAAATATGATCACTTAAGTCGAGGACCCAGTCCTAAAACTGAAATTTCACATAAAACTATGTCTATGTTTCACTGTCAATAATTTTTTTCAATCACTATTCTAGTGCCATAAAAAGAAATCTAACATGGATGTATCTCTAAGTTTGTTTGATAATATCAGTCACATTCTTTAAATTGCTCCTATGTTATAAAGGGGGAAAAACACAGGAAAGAAGTACTAAAGTAGGAATTTAAGGAAAGTCTTGTTCCCAAAATCCGAAGGGATCTGACTGCAAAATAAGAGTCTTTAGGGGAAGATAGAGACAAAACAGAGATCATCCAGTACAATATAGAAAAAAAAATGGGGTGACGGTCAGGGATTCAGAATAAACAGAATCTTCAAGCTACTAAATGTTCATAATCACTATCCTCATTTGCAAGATTCTCATTATTTTCCTTGATTTCTTTTTCATTTTCTTCAGGTGGTCTCTCAAAAAAGGATAGATAGAGATATACACATAAACACACACACATATTCATACACACGCATATATGCGCACACATATGAAGGAATAGCATTTGCCTACATCAGATTGAGTTAATGTTATACTTGCAATGCAGACAGTTAAGAAATTGAAAGATAGCCTGAGAGAATACATGGGGACAAATCTGAAGTCAACAGACTGATCTCAGACACTGAGGTCATCAAGTTATGTGACTTAACACAAATCACAAATCCTTCACTCCATTTCCTCCTGTGCAAAATGGAATTCATACATGTTTGACTTGAGGATTATCAAGAGATTATCCCCAGAGTCCACTGTGTATGGAAAATTATGTCATACTATGGACACATGAAGTATTCCTAAAGTATTATTAAATTTCTGTTAAAGACATGAGATTTAATTTCTATTATTTGATTGTTAAGAGGGAGATCTGCAAACATTGGGGACCACTTAAAGGTAGAACAGCACTAGAAATCATTCCCTCTTGATTCAGCTAGGATGGAAAGGACCTGACATGGGAGTGAATAGCAGTGCTTAGTGATAATAATGCAATGTTTTCAACAGACCAAATCACTTTTGTTTCACCTAAAAACCATTTCTGTTCCATCAGTGAGAGGTATCTGAAAACACCAATCTACTTCTCACATTCTGTGCTTCTTGCTGCCAAATGATTTAGCCAAAGCCACAACTTTTGTCACTGTTGAAATTGAAACTCGAAAGTGTAGGACTCTTCCAGCTCTCCTGAACCAGTGAAAGCCACAACTAGGTACACTGCACATCATTTCTTGATTTTTTTGAAGTGGCAGATTGGATGCAGTGACACACCAATCTCTCAAACAGTTAATGACCTCGGGGAATTCAGATTTCATTACAGATGGTTGGCAATGGAAAACAAATTTTGAGTTGTTATAAAAATTAAACACCTGCAGATGAGTGATTAGACCTATCAAGTGGCTAATCAGCAGAGGCCCTTCTGTTGTTAGTCATGTACAACATTTATGCACACTTGATATTGCAGACCTCTCTAGACTCTCCCACGTGGGCTGCCTGTCAAGTAGACATATGCCTGAATATGAGTGTTCAGATCTTGACTCTCAAGAAAATTAACTGGCAGGGTCATGCTCCTGCTTAAATCATTCATTGGCCTTTCATTTCTTTGGAGACATAACCCCAAATCCTACTGGGAGTGGTAGCTTATTCCTGTAATTCCAGCACTTGGGAGGCTGAAGCAATAGGTTTAAATGTTCAAAGCCAATGTAGGCTATATGGCAAGACCTTGTGGAAGGAAGGAAGAGCAGAAACAATGGATAGAAAAAGGGAGGAAAAAAGGAGAAAGAAATAAAAGAAAATCTCCAATACAATCTCCGAAGCCCCCCATGGTCCTGGCTTTGATCAGCCTCTCTGTAAACCCATCCTGCTTCCATTTGCTCTCCTTCTTAGTCTCTTGTCCAACTTAACAAATACCTCAGCAAAATGTGTGGCATTAATGAAGAGAACAAATGTGGCCTGGGTCTGGATCCCATAATCTCCCTTAAAAGCACATCACCAGTGACTTTTACTGCCTCCTCTAGCACCAAGCAAGGGGCCAAATCTTTACCATGGGAGCCTATGAGAGACACTCGGGATCTGAACTATAGCATGTCTAGCTTTACCCCTATGACTTTCTTTTTATCTTCTCCAAATTAGGTCTCTTTATGACATCTTTGTCTCTCCTTACCCTGGCCATAACGCTATCTCCATGCTAATGTTCGTTCACTCTTCAGGGCTTGGATAAAAGAGCACTTCCTCAGCGGTCCCTGGACCCCTACATCAGCTATCACAGGCTTTCCTGTTTCTCTACCACCCATAGTCAGAGTTGAACTCCCATAACTGTTCTTCCATCCAATGCCACTTAACCCATTGATGTATCCACAGTGCCTGGCACTACATGGACCAGTCATGTATGCAAATGTTCATTGGCATTGGTTAAAGGAAGGAATACATGGCCACAGCCAAGCTCAGGGCTCATCCAAAATAAATGTGATGATCTTGAGAGATTTGGTATCCTTTTTTAATCAACCTTATCAAAGCTACTCTCTTTTTTTCTAAATATATCATTGATACAGATCTTGCCAGGGGATGAGGACAGGAGATGTAACCCAGCCCTCCATCCAGATTAGTGAACTTCATAATCCTTTGTATAGTCCTGTCATGGGGAATGCCATTCTTTCAAAAGTGGCATTCATGGGGCTGGGAATGGGGCTCCATGGTAGAGTGCTCACCTAGCATGCATAAATCCCTGGGTTTGATTCCTAGTACCACATAAACAGAAAAAAACATAAGTGGCACTGTGGCTCAAGTGGTAGAGTGCTAGCTTTGAGCAAAAGAAGCTCAGGGACCTGAGTTCAAAGCCACAGGACTGGCCAAAAAAAAAAAAGTGGCATGCCTAAGATCCAACTTGGTGCATTCGGTAAACCCCAGGCTTCAAATCTCCCTCCTTGCTTTCCTTGAACCAAGAAAATTTGTCTTGATTTCATGTTGAAGGAAAGGTTCCGCAACTGTCTGCTTTAGTAGCCAATGAGCAGGAAGAGCAGTTGTATGAGCACTTAGAGCAAAAAGAGGTAGCTTGATGAAGATCTAGGTTCTGGTTCTGACTCTGCCATTCATTTGCTGTATTTGACCCTTAGAGCTAAAATATCCTGCCTGTGAAATTATAGAAATCTATTTGGATTCCTTGTAGCACCAAATAATTTACCATTTTATCTAGGAATTGCTGCTACTTCAGCAATGGAGACAATGGACATGTTATGAAATATTAGGCTAATTATGGTCATTTTGCCACGGTCCTTGAGAGCAATTTTATCCTCCTGAGTTTGGACAGTCTCTGTTAATAAAGTGTTCTCATTTCCTGCCATTTGGTGACTAATGAGAGAGCCTCTTCTCACCAGATTGGTAAGAGGAGTTAAAATGAGCTGCTATTGATCCATAGTCAAGACAACATAATTGTGCATTGACACTTCCTATGGATCAGACTTCACTGTAACAGTAAAACCTCAACATAAATAATGAGGTCTACCTACCTTGCATTTTAGAATAATCTTAAAACTCCTACTTTCTGTTTAGTAATGTTGAGACATAACCTTTCTTTAGAGATGACATGGTAATTTATGGAGAAATGATATAGTATCCTATGAAGGTAAAGATGATTAATTCAAGGCTTTTTGTGTGTGTTTTCTTTGGTGCTGGCCTTGAGCCTTAAATTCAGGGCCTGTGCACTGTCCCTGAGCTCCTTTTGCTCAAGGCTAGTACTCTACTATTTGAGCCACAGCTCCACTTCCAACTTTTCTGTGGTTAATGAGATGAGAGTTCCCAGACTTTTCCGACCTGGTCTGGCTTCAAACTGTGATCCTCAGATCTCAGCCTTCTAACTAGCTATGATAATAAGCATGAGCTACGAGCACCTAGCAAGGCATTTTTTATTTCAGAATTTTAGGAAGAAAGTGTTAAACACAGGTGATATAGAAAAAAAAAGAGAAAATAGTAATGGCAACAAATAAAACCTAGATCAATACTCCTACTGTTCTCAGTTAGGTTCTGAGACATTTAAATGGATTCATTTTCAACAACATATCTCTTTAAATTATCTCAGTCGAAGTAACTATTATGAGAAAAATACAAAAAGAACAATGTGCTATTTCAAACAAATCCTCAATGTTTTTTGTGTCCATACTATTTCTCTTCCACAGTAGAGTGCTTGAGGTTAATAATGCTAGTTCATAGTTCAAGATAACTAGAAGGGATTTTTGCATGTATCACAGCAAAGAAATAACAAACAAGTATCTGAGCAGTTGGATTCACTGAATACTTGGATTACACAATGTATCATGACTCGAAACATCATCACAATGTACCTCACAACTGTGTATAGTGATGTGTCAATACAAGTTAAACCAAAAATAATGTCCTGCCTTGACCTGTTTGACATTGTGACATTGGTTTTCATTGCAGGCTTATCAATGAGTCATTGAGGGACCAGTTATTAGTGACTATACAAAAGACCTTCACGTACACTCGAACGCAAGCGCAACATCTGTTCATCATCCTCATGGAGTGCATGAAGAAGAAAGAACTGGTATGTAAGTCCCTGTCGGTGGCAGCTCCCCTCCACATTCCCTAAAGCTTTCTTCCATTGCATCTTATTTTCTCTTCTGGCCAAGCATTTAAAACCACCCTCAAGCTTCATTGGCTCCATTAGTTTATTCCCCAGAATAGTTTTTTGTTTTCCTGTCTTGACTCTAACGAAGTATTTGCAGCAGGGTATTAACATCATTCCCTTTGGAGCCCATCCAAGTGCTTCTGATTTCCCCAACTAAATGAACTGAAGAGGAAACAAATAGGTTTCCTCTTGGCAATTGCTTCAGTAAATCTTCCCTTTGGTTTGAACTTTTGCCCTGCTTATGAATAATGAATCACACGTATGCTTTGTATCAAGTATCTTCAGTAACACAACATGGGGCTCTATGCTAATCTATACAGATGGAAAAATCAAGACATGGACCCCCAAAGTACTGGAAACATCCATATAGTTTCTGAAGTATCCACCAGTAGCTACGAAAAACCTTTCCTCCATCAGAGCAAAACGTCTTAGAAATGTGCTGTAATAAGGGAACTCTGTTGGGTCAACAGAAATAATGTTTAGTTGGCACTTGATCGGTGCCAGCCAGAGTGCTAAGTCCTTCTGTTACCACACGCATCATTTCAACTGTCCCAAAGAGAGGCACAATTATTAGCCTCACCTTACAAATGAGAAAATGCAAACTCACTTGCATAGCAAATAAGGATTTGGACTCTAGCTTAGCCCCATGATGGCTAATTTCTCTGAGGAATATTTTTATTCAGAAATTGTCTCACTAAAGCCAATATGTTGAATCAACCACTCTGGATGAATTCCCATCAGGCCTCAGCAAGTAGAGATTATTCTCCTAGGTCAGTTGAGCCCAGCTGGTGAGAGAGTTGCCAAACATTTAGATAAAGAATTGATTAGAGGGGCTGGGAGGGTGGCTCAGTGGTAGAGAGCTTGCCTTGCATGCCTGAGGCCCTGGGTTCAATTCCTCAGCACCATATAAGCAAAAAGAAAAAACCCAGAAGTGGTGCTGTGGCTCAAGTGGTCGAGTGCTAGCCTTGAGCTGAAGAGCTGAGGGACAGCGCCCAGGCCCAGAGTTCAGGCCCCACGACTGGACCCCCCCCCCAAAAAAAGAATTGATTAGATTAAGCAAGACTGTCTCCAGAGAACACCCACCTAGTCTTTGTGAGCCTTCCAGAAGCTTCCAGTTGGGATAGAGAGGAGCTGAGAAAAAAGGGACATCTATAGACCCATGAGCATCTATAGACCCATGAACACAACTTGACTACCATATATAGAGGCAAAGCAAGCAGTTAATAATAAATGATCATACTTCCCAATAAACGATGCTGTCATCTCAAATGTGACACTTGGTACCAAGTGATATTTTGTACCCTCCTTTCTCAAACGTGGTTAGGTCTCAGCCTATTGTGTTTTCTTCATCTAAGAAAGTATCTAAAACTTGAGCTTCCATAAGCCATAGGAGGGATTTTTTTTCTCCCAAGTTCTGGTGATTTGCTGAAGGTGAGGCTACCGCTATGATATCTTACTGGAACTGCACATTTCAGTAGCCTTGCTAATTTCCTGGAAATGCACTTCTAATGAAATCCTAGGAACCAGTTGGAGGTCACAAAACCAAATGAGGCTGAATGAACATCTCCAGGCATTTCATGGGATGGTTCTCAGGATTCCGCCTGGTGAGAGTCATGTGGCTTCCTCATGGCCCCTGCTGATAAAAGTCAGCTGCACTTCAGTGCGAGTTAAGAAATATGAACTACTGTATTCCTAGCTGCAGGCTAAGGAAACACATTCTAATAAGCAGCAAGTGATAGTCTCTGGATAGAAATGTTAGAGATTTTTAAGTCATAATTATAATGAAAACACTTGCATTTCTGAGGGGCTGTGTCCACAGACAGTACTAGATGCATTACAAATAAGGTGGACTCCAGGTACCATCTTCTCCCTTTACAATCGCATCACCTCACTTAGAGCAGAGGAGACCGCCTGGCTAGAAAAGCCATGAGGACTGTGTTGCAGAAGAATATCTGCTCAGTGAGCTGCAGAGCCCACAGCTAGGACAAGAAGCACTGAACAGGAATTGCTCTTTGTTTGTAACCGTTAGAATTTCTTTGATTTTCTGTAGAAATATGGGCAATCTATCCATTTCCAGATTGGGCTAAAGGACTTCTTTATGACTGGTATTGACATCTGTTTTCCCCCTTCAGCATCTAATTCATACACATAGTGGAGCTCTTGTTAGTAAATGCCTATTTGCTTTGAGAAACACAGCAGAGGGGGCTCATGGGAGACGTATTTTGATGGGTCCTGCGTGGTGCTCTGTGTGATGGCTGATCATGACATCAACACCCAAGGGTGCTGCTGTACTTTCTACTTACTTCGTGTAGGTATGTAGGTCTTGAAGAAGTTCATTTCTCTGCTTAATCAAAACCAGTTGTCTTTTGTTTTTTCTCAAGGCTGATGATTTATTAACACTTGAGCCATTCCTTCACTTCTGGGTTTGGGGTTGGTTAATTTGAGATAAAGCTCTCACAGACTTCTTTTCGCCAGGCTGGCTTCAAACTGAGACCCAAAGATCTCAGACTCCTGAAGAGCTAGGATTGTAGATGTAAGCCACCAGCTCTGGCAAGAACTGTTGTCTTCAGAGAAAACACTACATTCCTTTGAAACCAACCTATGACCTAATTCCATCAATGTCTTTGCATAGAACAATAAAAACTGCCCACAACAGCATATTGATTTGGGGGACATAAAAGAATACCACAATCAGAAAAAGAGGTTCAACTGACCATGCGCTCCTTGAGGCAACTTTATGTATAGAAACCACAGAGCTTCTTCCTTCCAGAAGGTAGTGCCTGCTCCTTTGTTCAGCTGCTGCCTCTCAGAGTCTCTGCTCTTGGAATCCCTTCAGAGCCTCTGCTATTAGTCCTGCAAACCCACCAGCCCCATATGAGGACAACAAGTTGATGTTTTAATGAAGACTGATAGTACTCATTGTTGTATATACCTTGGTGCTTGTGGCCCTTAAGAAATCATGGTGGCTAATAGCAGTGACCCAGACCCTTGTTCATGACCTTCCCGGTCTATGCTGATAAATGATACCCCATTGTCTTTCGGTGCTAGTTTTGTAGTTTTCAGTTTTCTCATTGCTGTAACCAAACACTTGACAGAAGCAGTTTAGAGGAGGAAAGAGTTCAGTCTCAGAGGATTCGATCTATGGTCTCCTGGATTCATGTGCTTGGGAAAATCATGGTAACAGAAACCTGTGGGAGAGGGGATTGTTCCCCTTATGGCAGATAGGAAGCAGAGAGGGAGAGAGGAAGAGAGACAGACAGAGAGAGACAGAGAGACAGAGACGACAGAGAGATAGAGCAAGCAGGTTCTAGGTATAATCTTCATGTGGCAAACCCACAGTGAGCTACTTTCTCCAGCTAGGCCTTACTTTCCGAAGTTTCACCATCTCCCAAACAGTGCCACCACCTGGGGACCAGGTGTTCAACGGACATGTACATCTGGGGGACATTTCCAATTAAAACAATTGTTTATCTTTCCATCATTTCTCACCCATTCCTGGGCCCCTTTTCTGTATTGTGAGTTGATGCCGCTTCTAATCCAAAGCTTTCCAATCCGTTCCTCCCTCCAAAGCCTTACCTGCACCTGTCCCAGCACTTCATTAATGCTGAACCTGAACTTGGATGCCAAGCTTCTGCACAACTCAGTATCCTGAGGTCAAACACCTGAGTGACCTGTGTGGCAGCATATGTAAAAGGGTAGTTTTCATTTTCTTGTACTTGAGGATCCGTATTTCTATTCTTCCTCACCTGGATTCTCACGCATCTCCATTGCTCTGCTCTGGGGGCCTGCTTCTCAGTACCACCCTCAAAGCTGAGTCCTTTGGTTCTAATCCACCTAAGGCTCCAATAATGCTGGGACATTCTTGTGTTCATCTTTAATTAATAGTCATCCTTATTCCTTATAATCCCTTTTATATTTTTTCAAGTTTTAAGCTTCCCCTTATTACTTTTACATACTTTGGTTTTACGTTTTTTTGTTTACTTTGGAATTATCTTTAAGTAGTTGTACAAAGGGATTTCAATTCAAAACATCAGTTTGTGAGTACAATGCATCTTGATCAATGTCACCCTCTCATCATCCTCCCCAAGTCTCCCAACCCCATCTATCCCTTCAATCTTATATATTTTAAATGATAATCTTTTGCTAGTTAGCTTCTTCCAGTGTGAGGGGATATTTATGCACCATATTTGCAGTTTCCTTTGATAAGCAGAAATGTGCAAATCTAATGTAAATTCCCTGGCAGTTTTGTTTTGCTCTTTAGACTCTAATATCCAAAAGGTATTTTTCTATATTTCCTTCTAAAACTGGATCAAGATTCGCCTTTCATATGATATCGACAACCCAGTTAGAACTGACTTTTCATCTAAGGTATTAAGTCAAAGTCCATATGGGTAACTGACTCTGCATCATTTACTAAATGGTCTATCTCTATGAAACTTTTGGTTTCTTAATAATATAAACATATTAGCTCTGATGTCTAGGAGGGCAAGTTATCCTCCTGTTATACTTCAGGATCAGCAGCTACAATAGCCCTCTGTTCATATATTAATCTTAAAGTTAACTTGTTAAATTGTGTGTACACTCACACACACATACACACACATAAACATACTCACACACACGTTATTAGAATGTGAACTGAAAATACATTGATTTTAAAGATTCAACCTCCTCATATTCAACAAAAGACCTATCCTTGAAAACAATAGTAGAGGTGTGGCTCAAGTGGTAGAATGCCAGCCCTAGTAATGACACCAATAAAAGAAAAATGGGAGAGAAAGAAGAGAGGGGGAAAAAGAGCCATAATTTGAGCTTCCTTGTAGGTAGGATGGTATCTTGATCTATGCTTTTTTTCCTTCTATCTGATATTACAGGAAGCAAGTCTTCCTCCTGACATTCTCCAGACACATCCTAGG